TATATATATATATATATATATATATATATATATATGTGTATATTTGTGAGTGTGTGTGTGTGTGTGTGAATTTTGACTATAAGCAGGCCGCGAGAAATAGCATCGCTTCAAGTGATGTAGTTATTAATCTATATGAATTCCACACCAAGCTCGCATCTACCACAGTGCTGACGTAAAATATCCTCAGTGGAAGAGGATCATGGGTTAAAGTTCTCTTGCCATCAGATTAACCAAAGCGGTTTTTGTTGTTTTCTACTTCATATAAGGCAATTGCGGTTAAGTTTCATCAATAAGTTTTCCACGATAGCTAGTTCGATCCAGGAGCTCTTTTGTTTTGTGTTGGATTAAAAATTGCTAAGTTACGGAGTTGAATATTAGTAGGCGTAAACCCAAAAGTGCGACGACTGTTTAACGACGGTTATAAAATAAAATAAGATGGATTATGTTTAGATTAAAGTGTAAGCAAAAAAATTCTGCTACATTTAACTTACCCATATTGAAACAACCACCTTATAATTTTCACAGAATCTTAAGCACCCCTAAGAATGTCACTTACCTGGTTCTTCCACTAAGCTCTTCAATAGTGTCAGTATTCGCGTTTCAGATTTGTGCATTACAATTTTCATAAGTAGTACAATTTTCTCAATTCAGAAAAAGAATATTTTGTGTGATAAATACTTTTTTTTAAGATGTCAAATGTGGTTATAATGTATGCATTAAAAGGATCATGATTTTAAGAAACACGTGGAAATCCAATAATAACCTCGTAAAACACGACCAAAAAGTCACTTAGATTAACTATAAACTAAACATAAATAAAGAGCTTTACAAGTGATTACTAAAATTTGAAATTCACATATCATAATTTTGTCGAAATAAAAATATTTTATTTTATAACCGTCGTTGAACAGCCAACCCAATTTCATGGGTTTACGACTACTTACGTTCAACTCCGTAGCCTTGTAATTTTGAACCAATCCAGAAGACAAGGAAACTCCTGGATCAGTACCCCCAGAGGTATTGATTTGTTGTGGGAACATGGAGGACTTTGAGACTCGACAGATTCAACGTGCATCAGTCACCATTTACTACACGGGGAGTCTTCGGCCGGCGAGGATCGAACCCACGACCTCTTGGATATGGGCCCAGCGCCCTACCGACCAGGCTATCCCGGCCCTCGAAATAAAAATATTGGGATTTTTAAAATTTCGTTCGTCGGAAATTCGTTGTGATAACCACCGAAAAAAGCGATCGAAAAATTGCATTGAGTTAGATTTCGCTCGGCAAAAAATGAGCGATTCAAAAATTCCAATACTTTTTTTACTTTCATTTTAAGATGTTTAAAAATCTTGGCACGATTCTATTCTCTTGGTAGGGACATAGAATATTAAAACACGGTTAAACATAATCTTAGATGATATTACAATTTTATTCGATTTAATAATAGATTTTATAGCTCTTTTTTTTTCATTTAAGTAATAATTGCTTGATAATTATTAAATATATTATTCCATATCAATTTATACATATATGTAATAAAATTGTATCAATTATTCAATGAACTTACTAAAAAATGTTTTTAAAAAAAGGCAAATGTATAACCTCATTTTATCAGAAACATGATTTTATAAAACTCAACATTCGTTAAATATAATGTTTATTCGAATCTCTTTGCTAAATTACGAGTAAATTTTCAGATGACTTAAAAGGAAACATCGTTATTTCATAATTAAAAAAAGGATTAACATTTGGCTCTCAGCGGAAAAAATATGAATGAAATTTTACGATACGCATGCTTCAGTCACGCACGTTAACCACATATAAACATTAATCTTCCCATTTAAATGTTTCTACACCAATCGCTCTGCATAGTGCGCAAAAAAGAAGGTAAAACGAATCACACTGAATAACTTATTAATAGTTCAAGGGAGTGAACTTAAATATGATAATCAATTAGTGCAGGCTATATTTATAGTGACAAAATCAGACACTAAAACGTATTTTCTCTGAATTTCTTACCAAAATTAAGTCATTCTGAAAACAAATGTGCATAGTTCATTGACTTCAACTTCTTTTTTTTTTAAATTATTAAAATGTATTAACAGCATTTAGTCTAACTAAATGCGATTAATAAGATTTCTTAATGCTTATCACTTTTTATGAAATGTCCATAGCTAAAATCTTTCATCATACTGCAAGTTCAAACAAAATATAGAGATATCTTACGTATATATCAATATACGTCATATTTTATGCCTCCTGCAATTACCAGTTGATTGAATTACACGAAATTAACCACAAAGAAGTAGTTAATAATTGGTACTCAGAAATGTATTCAATAACGGATTTTTGAAAAATATCTTAAATTTAAAATAAATTATACCAATTTGCATTTAAAAGAAAAAATTGCTAAATTGCATTAGACATAGCGCAAGTATTGTTAACAATACTTCATTTCTCCTTAACTAGTAATATGTAGATTAAATGTATGACTTTGAATCGATGTATGCATTACGTTCTTTAAACTCTTTTTATTCGAATCTTTAATTCAAAACTAAATCTCGAATTGCATTTTACAGATGGCGTCCGTAAAGAAAAGAGATCTAGAAGTTGGACACTCAAAACAACGAAAACAGAATCGACTGAAATCGTCTTCATAAACAAGTTTTCTGAACCTCCTCCCCTGCAGCGTATTACATCAGTGTCGATTGCAATTGGGCTATGGACGGCACCTGATGTAAGGCATGAAATAACATCTTCTTTCTTGTCTTCGTTCTCAAACTATAGCAGAGATACGGCTGAGTTGGAGAGAAGAATATTAAACAAATTGTTCGATAGCTCTTTGCCCTCATCGCTGAAGACCGAAATCTCATACGTTATTCGACCCATTAAGTGGCAGTGGTTGAAAGCGCTTCGTAGTTTCTGTAGATGGACAGGATATCAAAGAAAACTTTGTGAGTATTGCATGAAGCGTGGTACAATTTATTGGACAGTTGAGGGGACAGTAGACATAGTGAAATCCCTTACGGAACTATTCGATAATGGAAGCTTAGAAAGCTTAGATATTTGCGATTTGTATGAGATAGCCTGCTCTCACTGTTTAGGGGAATATGCTTCAATTTTGTGGGAGAAAATTCCAGAACAATTTAGAAACAGCTTTAGAATGCACAGTGATGATTTGATAACATATTGGACATGTGTCCTCGAGAATAATTTAGGGAGTTTTCTAACTAGACTCAAAGATTACGAAAACATATACGATGATAAGTTTAGTATTGATGTAAATATGATTGCTTGCTCTATACGAATTGGTAACAAAGTTGCCCTAAAGTATTTTTGGAAGAAATTGTCGGAACAGGAGAAAAACGATCATTTGAGTAAGTGGCTTTTGCAAGCTACTCGATTTATTGATTTTCTAGATCATTCCCCATATCAGGATTCTTCAGAAGCTTTAGATGTTTTATGTTTTTTATTATCTTATGTCCATCGTATAACTCAAATGAACGAATTTTTTCGGAATCATTCTCGCGTATTAGTGTTTTTGTTCGAAAGTTGGCCATATCAAAGAATATTCTTGTCCACTATTTTTGAACTATTGGATAATCTTCAAGAAGACATTTATTCATCTATAATGCTGAATATTAGTTTTAAGATGAGTAAAATGGGAAATGAAGTAATGATTCTGAAAGAAATATGGAGTGCCAGTCCATTAAGACTAAGACAATCATTTCTAAAAAATAAATTTTTTTGCGTTGAAGTGTTGTTGCAGTTGCTGGAATTAGAAAATCTGAACATGGCTGTTAGGATGATAAACGATGCTTCCAAAGAAGAGATTAAAGCATTTATTTGCTTTATGTTTGGTCGGCCTGAATTCAATCGTGCTATTTATTCAAGCAATCTAAGCAATCTAAATTCGCTTCACGTGTTATTATCAAAATCTACCTTGCCAGCAGAATGTTATCCCCATAAAACCAGTCTTATAGAGCAAATAGAGCGAGATAGGCTGATATTATCGTGGCTTATTAGATTTAGTGATTGGCATATTTGTATTGAGTGGATATGTGATGGTAACATCCAAGCAGCTGAGTCCTTCTTGAGATGGGTATATCAATCTGTGCGAGTTGAAACCTTTAAGAAAACAATATCATCTCCACATGTTATCTATTTGACATTAATATTTTTGTCCAATTATGAGCATGTGGACCAGTTTCTGAATTGGTATTTCCAGACGGGAGAGGAAATTCAACAATTTAAAGCAGACTTTTTGCGAGAATTGGATAATTATTTTTTCAAGCGATTCATAGACATGCCGTTCATTGTATCAAAAAGAGAAGGCGATGTGTTACAAAAATTTATAAACTACAACTTGTCTTCTCTTGAAAACGTTGCAGAATTTCGACTTATTTGTCGTAGTTGTATAGAGTATGCACTGAGTAAAAGTTTTCTAGAAAGTGCCACCTTACTTTTGAATGCATCTTTTGATAATATCAATGAAGTGAAGCAATACAAAAATGAACTTATACTGTCTGAGAAAGGAATTAAAAAGGATCTAATCTTAAAGCAATCACTAACTGATGCTGAGTGGAATAACGAGAAAGAAATCGTAATGTGGTCCTCACCCCTGTCCCTAAATACAGTCGCAGAATTAAAGTCACGAATTCTGGAGCAGAAGACTAGTCACTCTTTCAAAGATGAATTGAATCTACAGATTTCAGCTCTGTTGGATTTACTGGAGAATGTTGTTGAGAAGGACAGCAGATGATAGCTGAACATATTTTTGCGATCAAAAAAGAATGCAAATAAAATCATATTCTCTGTCAGAAGACAAATCATATTCACTACGCAATCACTGTCAAACGATTAATTGTCTTATAATAAATATGTAACTCCATTTTTTAGTGCTAGTTGTTTAATGGCAATTAAACAATATCCGCTATACATTATTTGCCACAACTTCAATAACTAATTTATTTGCCACAACTTTATTTTTTTATTTTCGTTATACCTGAAGGAAAATCAGCAAAATTACGTGATTTATTTTTCCTCACTATTCCCAAAAAATAGTCTCTAGGAAGATATATATACAGTCCCTGGCTAATTATTAGACGCACTAAAAGATTCTATATATATATATATATATATATATAGGCTACGCTCTTTAATACAATGCTCCTCTCCGTAATACAACAAACTTACAATTATAACGACCGATACATGAAGTCGCATTTTCTCTTTGAAATACAAGTAACATTATTTCTGCGAGAATGAGACTATGAGTAACAAAAGCGTGGAGGAAACAGGAAATAGTCAAACTACTATTACTTTTGACTTTACCACTCAATAAACGTGAAACAACATGAGTTCAATAGGAATAAAGAAATAGTTTCGTACTTAAAGCACATTTTGAGAGCAATGTTTTTATTTTCTGACGAAATCTATTTACCTAAAACCTAGGGTAATGAAATTTCGTATCTCTCCTTTGAATAAACGTGAATCGTATTCTTAAAAAGATTTAATGTTTTTTCCTGTTCCTATCGATAACTTGATTTCTTCATCAACATTGGGTCCCGCAATGGACTGATCCTAAAGGCATGGTTCACAGCAGAACAGTCAAGCATCACTGGCCACGGTCAGTCAGCGGGATCGTGACTACTTTGATCGGTCTGTGTAGGGACTGAGGGTGCACGGTATCAGTCATCGTAAAACTGCTCTACCTCAAATTCTCGACTTTTCAAGCAGGTCTTTTCAAGCTACCATAGCAGCTCTCAAGCAAAGCCTTCCCTTTGGCACAGTATCAAAATTGTGATGGCATATCTTCGGATCATCCTCAGGGATGTTTCCCAAATCGTCACCAATAGCCCATTGTGCAGTTCAAACGCATCAACATTGCTAATTTCGCTTTCTAAATCACTTAACTTAATACTAATCCTTTGTAATTCTTTGACCCAAGGGCCGTATGAAGCCTGCTCAATATCAGAACAAATTTGTTTTAGACATAAAGTTTCAAATTTACATCCATAGCTTTTATAAACATCACTTAATTCTACTGCACATTGTGCATATTTTTTCCCCTTTCGATTCAGTCAAAAAGTGGTTGCTTAATCTCAATTTGTCTTAATGATAAATAATTCCTAAATCATGCAAATTTTCACTAATATTAAAGCTCATGCTTCCAGTATTAATAGTAAATCTAATTAACATTTCTTTCTTATCATTATGTATTCTAACAATCAAAGTATGAATCATTATATACGAGAGTTGTACTTAATTATTTAACGTACATGTTGGCGCATGCGCGCCATTCCCTAGTGGAAGGAGATTAAATCATCACTTCTCCTATGAGACTCGATAAACATTAGATGTGGATAAATATCTCTTAAACCCTTTCGAAATCCACAATATCTCCAGCTGTTGTTGTTGTTTATATTTAATGTTGTTGTCATTAATAAAAAAACAAAAAGTGCAGCTGGTGGTCCGTCGTTATTTACTAAAATATCAAGCGTGTTGGTTTTAGGCCGACATTGTCTGGCACGTCGAGCACACGGAGCGCTCGAATCAAACTACAACTATGGATACAATAGCGAAACTAAATAAAGCAAAAACTTCCTTGAAAGGAAATATTACTCGAATACAAACCTTTGTCGATAGTATATCTGAAGATATTCCTATTAATACCATACTTGAAGTGAAATTGAAAAAAGTCGAACAATTACAAAGTAAGCTTGATGAATTGAGAGTGCATTCTTTCGGTGTTGAAAAAATAACTGATCAAGAATTAGAGGAATTCGAAAAAGAAATCGAACAATGCGAATCTCGTCTAGAAGATTTGGAGGTAAGCCTCAAACTTATAATTGATTCTAAAAAAGAAACTTTATCAACTGTAAACGATGTTAAACAAAGTAATCAAACTGAAAATATAACTAACACAAAAATTCCACCTATTATACTTCCAACATTCCGGGGAAGATATGAACACTATAGTACCTTTAAAAATCAGTTTGATGACTTGATCACCTCTAATGATCGACTCACTCAGTCGCAAAATCTTTATTATTTAAACTCATGTCTCTCAAATGAAGTAAAAGAATTTGCTTCCACATTTGACACATTTTCTTCATTATATGAAGCACTCGATTCACGTTACGATAATAAAAGATTAATCGTTGATGATTCCATCCTAAATTTTAAAAATATAGAACGTGAAAATGCAACAGAAATTCGTGCAATGATAGATTGCATTCAAAAGAATTTACGAGCTTTAAAAGTGTTAAAATATGAGCGAAACGATTTATTTGACATTTTTCTTCAAAACATAATGCTTAACAAATTAGATAAAGAAACTCGAAAGAACTTCGAATTAATACAAAAAACCAAAGAAGTTCCGTCATACGAACAATTCATTACATTTTTAGAACAACGCGAAGCTGTTCTCTTATCGGTAAATCGAAATTGTTATTCAGAAACGAAAACAATTAAGAAAACAACTAATTTCCCATTTAAAAACAAAACTGTTTTGATGAATGAAAATATAGAGAATAAAAACTGTGTAATTTGTTTGAAAGAATCACATCCTATATTTCGCTGTGATAAATTTTTGAAATTAACACCGCATAAAAGATTTGAACTTGTTAAATATCATAAACTATGTGAAATTTGTTTGAAAAAAAATCATAAAAAGTGGGAATGTAAATCGTCTTTTGTATGTAATTGTGGTCAACGCCATTCGAATACATTATGTTTCAGACGAGCTATCGCTGAGAACAGAAAACAGCTGGCGTCAGAAAATCAAATCGAAGGATCAGAAATAAAAAATGAAAATAAAAGTTCTCTTCATAATGCGGTTTTAAGTAATACTTCTAATGAAAATAAAAAGAATGTTTTATTATCTACTGGAAATATTCTATTGCAAAAAAGGGATGGGTCATTAATTAAATGTAGAGTTATTTTCGATTCGGCATCAAATGTTAATATATTGAGTAAGAAAACGAGTGAAATTCTTGGGATTAAATTAGAAAGAATCCAAACATTCGTGGCTGGACTTAATACGACTAAACAAAATCTGAAAGGAAAATTGAGTACTATCATTTCAAATAAAAGTGGTAGTTTTAAAGAACCGATTGAATTCCACAGAAGAACAGATAAAATTACGGGTCTAACTCCAAGTGTCAGCTTAGATATATCGTAAACGAAAATACCCGAGTTTTTCGAATTAGCGGATCCTTCATTTTTTGAAGCGAAAGAAGTTCACGCTTTATTAAATGCTGATGTTTTCTTTAGAATAATTAAGGATAACGTTTATAAAGTAAATGAAGATTTGTTGTTAAGAGAAACGGAATTCGAATGGATCGCGAGTGGTCGACTCGATGAGATAAAAATTAATAATGAAAATGCGTGTCTTCTTCTCAAAAACGATGATTCTATAGACGATATCTTAAAACGCTTTTTTGAACTTGAATCTCTCGGCATAAAAGAAGACCCTTGTCTTCGAGAAGAAGATCAAGCCATGAACATTTTTGAACAAACTGTACAATATAAAGATGGTCGATATATAGTTGAACTACCATTCCGTAAACACTGGAAAGAATTATCCAATAACGTTTGCGTTGCAAAACAACGATTTCTTAATTTATGGAGAAGATTGCGATTCGATAATGAACTATATTCTCAGTACCAAAATATCATTCGGGACTATTTGGATCAAGGAATAATCGAAGAAGTAGAGAGTTCTGAATCAAACATTGATAGACCCTTTTTCTATTTACCACATCAGGCCATAAAAAAAGAAGGTCGCGTTACAACTTCAACTCGAATAGTGTTTGACGCAGCATCTCACCAGGTAGACGAACTTTTATTGAATGACTGTTTATGGCCAGGTCCAAACCTTTACCCTAACCTTTTCGATATACTTATTAATTTTAGACTAAGCCGAGTGGCAATTTCATCAGATATTCGTCAGGCTTTTTTACAAATTTGCATTGCGGATAAGCACAAGGATACAGTACGATTTCTGTGGACAGACAGTGATCCTCGTTTAGACTCAAAACCAAAACTTCGAATTTATCGTTTCAAGAGATTACTCTTTGGACTTAACACTAGCCCTTTCCAACTAGCAGCCACCATCAAACATCATATTGAAAAATACAGAGAGGTTTATTCCACGACTGTACATCATCTAGATTCTTACATGTACGTAGACGATTGGATAACAGGTCAAGATACCCGAGAAGAGGCACTTATAATTTCCCGAAGTGCGAAGGAAATCATGAAGGAAGCTGGAATGGAGATGAGAAAATGGATTAGCAACGACTCCGCCTTGATGAGTCAGTGGTCAGAAGAAGCCTTTGACACTTATCCAGTTGATATTCCTATAAACTTAGGAACTAATAATGCTAAGGTATTAGGCATGACATGGCAAACTGAAGATGATTGCTTGATATTAGACACAAAAGGTATTTTAGAATTCGTTTCAAACTGCCGAAATACCAAAAGATTTCTTCTGCAGACCATCGGAAAGATTTTTGATCCAATGGGATTACTTACTCCCTTCCATTTCAAGGATGGGTTTCA